ATAGGACGTTTTAACTGATGAAGAATGAAGACAATAAAAACGATTGTGACTAAATGGTGTATCTCTGTTCTTCAAGACATCTCGGGTATATTTTTATATGCACAATGTATATTTATAATGCAATGCTAATCGACATAGCCTTTATCACTGTATAGAATATTATAAAATGATTTTGCCTCATTCTGTGATTCCACGTCAGATCACAAAAGGAAGTTATTTCTAACACTGGATGATGTAATGAAATTAATTTGGACCAAAAACGTAATTAAATGTTTTTTAAACGCACTGTACAGCCCTGGTGCGTCATCTGTATGCGTGTTGACTTGGGCGCTGCACAGATCGATCGGTGTTTGACATCAAAGTACTGCAATTGGATAGGAAAGCATGCAGAGCTGTCCATTAGTATTTATAGGCCCTTTCGCACCGCTTTAGTTCCAGAACTAAATGTACGGTACTAAAGTACTGGGACGATTTTGCGCGAACTATTTCCCAGTACCATTTAAAGGGTTGCCTATTAGCTCTCACGGTACTTCGCTGTCAAACACCGATCTGTCTGCACAGCACCGCTTCAAGTTGAACACACCTTGAAATTTAATTAACAACCTTGCGGCCGCGGGGCCCTCCCCTTAAGGCGGGGCCCCAGGCGACTGCCTGTACCGCCTGTTGGATGGGCCGGCACTGCTTTAGGCCTATTAAAGCGCTATAAAAAATAAAGGTAACTTGACTTTTGCTGTTGGAGCAAATGATAACACGAAAATTGTTTTTGCTCTTCCATTCACAAAGTTCACCTTATTGCAATTTACTTCCGAGCACTCTTTGCATACAATTTGTTTGTGATTATTCACATTGAGCATGCACATTGAGATTTCAATTGTAATTTGTCCTCCCTGAAGCCAGTGTTTTTTGCTGATGACCACAGGATCTATTTAAGAGATCAATAACGATTATAATAAACCGCTTCCCTGTTCTTGAAAACCACCGGGTTTACACTTTGATGAAGTGCTTTAAATTTCACTTTCAATCTGTGCGAACCCATGGGTTAATCGAAGCCATATAGAGGCTACTTTACTGCCATCTATTGGTAAAAGATGAAATGCAGTTGTTACTGCAGCTGGTTTTACGTCTGTTTCTTCAACCGGTCCTTTAACGCCGTTTTGATTTAAAAATCAAATACGGAAACAAGTTTTTGCAAAACTATTGTATTATTCACAAAGCTTACAAAGCAAGCATATAGTTTACATGTTAAGCTGGACTCATTTGAGGTTTATATAAACGAAACCGAAAGTGTTGCAGGCAGGCGATGAATCCATTCGCAGTTCAGAAATAATGGGTGGAAAAAGATAGATAAATAAAATACACTTCATGATGAGTTTAGGTTAATGAAGATGATGGCGTGAAATTGGTTATTAAACTGATCCTAGGACAGAGCAATTTGGAGGCGCCCATTTCCATAAATCACAACCAGATGTTCCCGCATATTAAAACAAAAACATTATTGTTTGGTCAGGATATAGCCTACTCTATCAGAATTATAACGTCACCTCTCAAAGGCAAATTGATTAAGCCGACAGAATGATATGAACTAGGTAAAGATCTAACACAATTTAATTCAAGACTCAAATGTGCTGCATTTTTGAGCTTTAATGCAGGCAAAATGAGAATGTCGAAACGGCCAGTTAACGCTTAACCATGAACGAAGTCTACAAGCAGGAAAGACCGTAAATGAAACGAATTGGCATGAATCGCACCATGTGACAAGGGTCGTAAAGGGGAGAAATAGAAAGCATTCTGCACAGCGTTCTGGGTGCTGAAGACCGTCGTACTACTGCAAGTAAGTTTTAAGACGTCCTTGATTGCAGTTAGTGATATGTGAATGAACAGATATATGTATTAATGTAGCCTATTACAGGGTATTTTTTATTTTTTAAATCCCTCTTTTTATTTTCTTGATGATGCGAAATCGAAAGTATACCAACGGGAAAACTTCACAGTTAGGCGGGTAAGTAAGCACGTGGTGAATGTGCTTTAATGTCTTTTAATTTGTGTCAAAAGAGAATGTAATCAATCAGCTGTGATTAAATAGAATATTTCAGTTCACTTAGCTCAATAGCCTGCATTTATATATTCAGCTATTGTGGGAGCAGTTGAAATTAATATAATAAATTGTGACATAATGATCCCACGCTGTATAAGTAATGTCCAATACAGTTTTTCACCGTATATAGTAGGGGAATTTACCGTTAACCATTTAACAGGATTTTACTGTAGCATTTTTACAGTCTTTTACCGTTAAATTCAGGGTCATTTTTTACAGTGCAGGTTGTGCTGAGCAGCTGAATGTCTCCAACACAAAGATACCAGTGCTGTTTTTCAATGGCAGTTTAGCTGCAGTATGTCAGAGGAGCGAGGAAAGGACTCTCCATCTGAGATGAGTGTCTCAGTGGAACAGAGGTAAGACTGAGTCTGTATTTAAAGAATCATTTTAAACACTACTTAAGTTTCAATATTGCAGCTCTTTTACTGTAAAGTGTTTATCATAAAAGTTCAGCAAGATGGGTGAAAAATGGGATAAAATTATGTGTTCCTTTATAACAGTCTATAAAATTCAAACACTTCTCTAGAGTCCAGAGTTCAGTAAAGATGTTGTTTGCACCTCAGTTACAACTTTCATTTCTCTGAAACGAAAAGGCATTCGTCATGTCACAGCAATGCGGATAGTGATAACAGTCGGTTAGCTGAGTTATTCAAACATTGGTGATCTGCCAGGTCTCACAACTTTGTTCCTGGTTGTGTTGCTCTAACTCATAAGAGTAGATCATGTTTTTGTTCAAATTGATAAAATATGTGGCTCTATTGAATACGTGTTGCTTTGGATTTAAGTATCTACCAAATGCTAATGAAATGTCCAGGACAGTTTGGTGGTGGTAATGTAAAAAAAAAAAAAAAAAGTTTCAAGAAGAGACGTCTCCTTATCCAGTCAAACTCAATGCGACTAGAATATTAAGTTACTGATATCATGTCTAAAGATAAAAAAAACAACACACTTAATATAAATACCTCCTGCCATAAAATATTAGTTTTTCTCTCTCTTTCCTCTTTGTGTCATTAGGGAAAGATCAGACTCTGAGGTTTCCAGCTCGGAGTCTGTAAAGAGTGATCAGTCGAAAGGTGATGTACCACTTTTCAATGAGGAAACACCTACCAAAAGGTATTTCATGTGTTTCTTATTGTCAGACACACATAGGCTGTGTTAGGAAGTATTTCTTTTTGACTTTATCATAACACTTATAAAGTTTTGATTCTCAAAAAAGCAATTGATTTATAGCATTGTGATAGCTGTTTATATGGGAGAAGAATAATTATGCACAGTTATAGTTTGTTAAATTGTACTTACTGTAATTACCATCTGAATGAAACCTCCTCAAATGAGACTGAGAAAACTCCTTTGTGTTATTAGTGAAAAACCGGGCCTACATGTGTCCTTCAGTGATGAAACACCATCACAAGCTAAAAGGTATTTTATGTGCTTTACATACATTATTTACATTTCTTCACTGTTGTGTCTGTGATTGAACTTAACGGATTAAACAGAAAACTACACATAAACACATTCATCTGTCCATAGTCATGAGAATGGCAAATGCTCTTCAAATGAGACTGAAGAACCTCCTTTAATAGTGTTTTCTCTGTTCTTGTCAGTGAAAGATCAGGTTCACCTGTGTCCAGCTCTGTGTCTATGAAGAGTGACCATTCAAAAGGTGATGGACCAAACTTCAGTGAGAAAACACCATCTTCCAAAAGGTATTTATTATTGTTGATCATACATAAACTGTATGATGTATTTAACAAAAAAATGTTTGCAGTCAACAATGAGTCACAGTTGGTTTGTCAAATATTTGTCCAAATGTTTGGTTCACTACAATTTAACTTGCCACCAAGAAAATTGACGGAGATCATAAACCTGAAGTCATTAAACCAAAAGCATCAGAAGAAACTCACTGATGGGGTGAGAAGGAGGGAATAGCCTTGTAACTAATCAATGGATAACTAACACTCAGCGTTTGTAAGCGTTTATAGAAGTAGGAAATTAACTTTGCTAGAGTCTAAAGTCCACGAAGGGATGCAGGAAATAGTTAGCTGGTAATGTATATGGTGGCAGAACAAATGCTGACAAGATGTGTCACTGCTGATAGTTGTGGTGTTTATGTAGGAAATGTTAGAATAAAATGGAATTAACTGCAGTTAATGGAAAAAGTCACTCACATTGGGGAGTCTTGGAGTGGTGTTCAATAGCTAATTAGCTAAGTTCTTCCCCTGCAGTTGAGTGAAAAATAATAATGAATGGTTACAGTATAGCATGCAGAGAGAGAGAGTTTTGAGAACTTAATTGAATTTAATTAGAACATTAAAAATCTCTTTAAATGAAACTTCTTTTCTCATTAGCGAAAAATCAGGCTCTGATGTGGTCAGCTCTGTGTCTGTGAAGAGTGACCATTCAAAAGGTGATGGACCAAACTTCAGTGAGAAGAAAACATCTACCAAAAGGTATTTAATGTTTCCTATTGTTGTTCACACATTGACCGTTAGAAAGTATTTCAGTAAGTATTTATCATAAACCCCTACAGTTTTGCTTCTCAAATTTGCAATATTGTGTTACATTTTAACTTTCACAGTTGAGAAAATTGTAATAATGCACGGTTTAACTGTAGTTTGTCACAGTGAATTGTATCTAATTATCAACTTAAAGGGATAGTTCACCCAAAAATGAAAATTCTGTCATTAATTACTCACCCTCATGTTGTTCCAAACCAGTAAGACCTCCGTTCATCTTCAGAACACGAATTAAGATATTTTGATGAATTCTGAGAGCTCTCTGACCCTCCCATAGACAGCAAGGGTCCTTACACGATCAGGGGCGGATTTAGTGGAATGGGGCCCTATACATTTGCACACATTTACTTAGATCAACCTTGAGGTTCCATTTTGTTGTTTTCAGCGTAAGCCTGTGTGCTGTCTAATTCTAAACTTTAAAATACATTTATTTTTAGTTGTTTTAACTACAAATTTAAATAAAACTGAAAAAAAAAATGAAAAGCCAATTTATATTTAAATTAAATTATACATTTACACACCTAAAATACATATATCAAGAGCATGCTCACAGATGAGAACAAAACAGCGTTGGATGAAGTGGATTAAAGCCCTGCACGGGTCTCAAATCTAGCCCGTCTTTTTTCCCCTTTTCCCATTCATCTGTCCATAGTCATGAGAATGGCAAATGCTCTTCAAATGAGACTGAAGAACCTCCTTTAATAGTGTTTTCTCTGTTCTTGTCAGTGAAAGATCAGGTTCACCTGTGTCCAGCTCTGTGTCTATGAAGAGTGACCATTCAAAAGGTGATGGACCAAACTTCAGTGAGAAAACACCATCTTCCAAAAGGTATTTATTATTGTTGATCATACATAAACTGTATGATGTATTTAACAAAAAAATGTTTGCAGTCAACAATGAGTCACAGTTGGTTTGTCAAATATTTGTCCAAATGTTTGGTTCACTACAATTTAACTTGCCACCAAGAAAATTGACGGAGATCATAAACCTGAAGTCATTAAACCAAAAGCATCAGAAGAAACTCACTGATGGGGTGAGAAGGAGGGAATAGCCTTGTAACTAATCAATGGATAACTAACACTCAGCGTTTGTAAGCGTTTATAGAAGTAGGAAATTAACTTTGCTAGAGTCTAAAGTCCACGAAGGGATGCAGGAAATAGTTAGCTGGTAATGTATATGGTGGCAGAACAAATGCTGACAAGATGTGTCACTGCTGATAGTTGTGGTGTTTATGTAGGAAATGTTAGAATAAAATGGAATTAACTGCAGTTAATGGAAAAAGTCACTCACATTGGGGAGTCTTGGAGTGGTGTTCAATAGCTAATTAGCTAAGTTCTTCCCCTGCAGTTGAGTGAAAAATAATAATGAATGGTTACAGTATAGCATGCAGAGAGAGAGAGTTTTGAGAACTTAATTGAATTTAATTAGAACATTAAAAATCTCTTTAAATGAAACTTCTTTTCTCATTAGCGAAAAATCAGGCTCTGATGTGGTCAGCTCTGTGTCTGTGAAGAGTGACCATTCAAAAGGTGATGGACCAAACTTCAGTGAGAAGAAAACATCTACCAAAAGGTATTTAATGTTTCCTATTGTTGTTCACACATTGACCGTTAGAAAGTATTTCAGTAAGTATTTATCATAAACCCCTACAGTTTTGCTTCTCAAATTTGCAATATTGTGTTACATTTTAACTTTCACAGTTGAGAAAATTGTAATAATGCACGGTTTAACTGTAGTTTGTCACAGTGAATTGTATCTAATTATCAACTTAAAGGGATAGTTCACCCAAAAATGAAAATTCTGTCATTAATTACTCACCCTCATGTTGTTCCAAACCAGTAAGACCTCCGTTCATCTTCAGAACACGAATTAAGATATTTTGATGAATTCTGAGAGCTCTCTGACCCTCCCATAGACAGCAAGGGTCCTTACACGATCAGGGGCGGATTTAGTGGAATGGGGCCCTATACATTTGCACACATTTACTTAGATCAACCTTGAGGTTCCATTTTGTTGTTTTCAGCGTAAGCCTGTGTGCTGTCTAATTCTAAACTTTAAAATACATTTATTTTTAGTTGTTTTAACTACAAATTTAAATAAAACTGAAAAAAAAAATGAAAAGCCAATTTATATTTAAATTAAATTATACATTTACACACCTAAAATACATATATCAAGAGCATGCTCACAGATGAGAACAAAACAGCGTTGGATGAAGTGGATTAAAGCCCTGCACGGGTCTCAAATATAGGCCTTTTTCCCCTTTTCCCAAAAAAAGCTTATACTGTTTCAGCTATTAAAATAGTTCAGTTTTGTATGTAATGGAAAAGTGATCATATTTCGTTTCGTTTTTTTATAAAGTAAATTCAGAAAAACATTTGGAGTATTTTTTTGTTCGTTAAATGTAAGTTTTTTTTTTTTTTTTAAGTAAAGGCCAGCGTCAGACAGTGAATTGATCATAACCTATAGCCTATGTTTGATCAATTTAGCCTTCTCAAATCATCACGATTTGCCTAAAATAAAATCTATAGATATAAAACAGTTCAAGCATATCACAATGTTAGTTTAAATGTTTAACCTATATAAATGTGCATATCCAATCGTTTGCGGAGGAGTGGAAGCTGAAGCTCTGCAGGACATGGAGGCGCGTATATCACAATGTTAGTTTAAATGTTTAACCTAGATAAATGTGCGCTGTTAGACGCATATCCAATCGTTTGTGTGGAGAGCTGAAGCGCACTCTGCAGGACACGGAGGTGCCAGCGCCATCACTTGCTTTTTTCTAACAGTGGAAACTTAAAATACGCAGTCATTTTTGCTCATAAATGTAAGAATAATACATCATTCTAAACTGTAAAGGGTCTAGTTTTATTTGTGTGCACTCACAATATCAACAAAACGTTGTGCTTTTATAAAATAAAGAAAACAAACGCTTTCTGCCGTCTCGGGCTTGAACAGGAGCGCTTCACAATGATGAACCTAAACTCAGACATGATCAAAATATATAGAAAGCTTTAAATTACTACTTTAAAACGAAACAATTCAAATCGAAAATAGACTCCTAATAAAATAAACTCTTTCATTATGTAATCCCTGCATTTCTCTCTATGGCACATCCAATTAGGAGATGGCGAGTCATTTTCTCATCACTATAATTGATGGAAGGCCCGATTATAATTTGCGTTTTATTTTATAATTCCATACAGTTAAAAAATAAAACACTAATTATAATGGCATATATGTAAAACTTTGTCCTATAATTGTATAGCTGCTTTTTAACAAATGACCTCAATTCAGTTTGAGGTATTCAAAATTTGACAAAGCTGAATTTTTATAAGCAGTAATTTAAGAGCCATATGTTAGGCCTATTTATTTAGATAAATAGAACATCAGATGGCTTTGACCGGTAATGAATGTACAATGTAGTGATGCAGTTAGGCAGACTAGGCTATTTACATGTACAAATCAGACAAATATCCCATTCCAAAACATTTCTAGCATAAACTTACATTGTAAAGAAATTAAAGTCCCATCTTTGATTGTTGAAAGAATTTCTGGTGCATTTCACTTACAGCCAATAAAATTTCCAGTAGGATTTTCATCGATCAGGCGTGGATCTATTCTGAATGGTTGATAATTTTTGACAGTTTAATCCAGGAGCAAAGAGAAATAATTTCTACTTTAAAAGCACGGAGAGATCGCGATTGCACACAATCTGCGCACAAGCAATATCGGAGTGAAAGGACAGGCAGTTCATTTCAAGTTAGACCTATTTAAGAGCTCGCATCCGGTTTTCTGCGATTACATGACTGTGTTCTCATGTTACAATAAAGCGCTCGCCACATTTGCGTGAGAATGATTAAAATTATGCGGAATACCTGTAATCCCGCGCGGACATTCAGACTCTGTATTTGTCAGGAGGCGGATGCGTGTCAAACTCACTGTCGGAGAGGAAAGAGAGAAACTGTGGAAAATGAGTAATGGAACCGTGTCAGATATTTCAGTATCGGTATCAAAATATAGATATTTATGATAACACTACCATGTAGTTTGCTTCTCCAAACTTTGAGTAAACTTTATTGGCTACTGAAGTGCCGTCAAAGGTTTGAATATCAATTCAAATTGTGGGCGTACTCAGTAACAAACTATGATTTAAAAGTAACGAAGTAGATTATTTTGCTTAATTTGTATTTAAGTACAAGTAAAAGTACAGCTTTAAAAATATACTCAAAAAAGTACAAGTACCCGAAAAAACTACTTAATTACAGTAACGTGAGTAGTTGTAATTCGTTACCTCCACGATTTAAAAGTAAAGAAGTAGATTATTTTGCTTAATTTGTACTTCAGTACAAGTAAAAGTACAGCTTTAAAAATATACTCAAAGTACAAGTACCCGAAAAAAATACTTAATTACAGTAACGTGAGTAGTTGTAATTCGTTACCTCCACCACTGCATTTTACTTACTTGCTTTTGAAATATCCGACCGAACTACAAACTTTCCAGTGATGTCTGTGAGATATTCATTCGACAAGCTCGCACATCTGTGCCGCCGCGCGCTCTGCTTATCAGCTCGTATACAGGCGCGAATATTGAATGTTTAACATTATATTAATTACTTACATGTACTTCATAGACATCCTTAATCTCTAATAACTCCATTCTACTCTCTGTTGTTCTGTT